CGCCGCAGTTTCTTCAACAGAAGGGTTGGAGCTGTCTTGCTCCAACACTGGCTCTGTAGGGGAGGGACACAAAGGCTCATCTATGGGTTCGAATGGAATATCGACGGGCGGCGCAACAACAAGCGCCTTTCCATGGTTATCGACTTGCGCGAAGCTGGAGAAAAGCAGATCCAGGCCGGTAACTGCATCGGAAATATCAACTGGCGAACGACGATGGGCATCATCGCCGTGGTCGCCAGTTTGTTCAATGGCGTCCGGGTGGTCCGCCATTGATTGCAGCGCTACTAAGCAGCATCTAACGGGACTTACGAACTTGCCTAACGAGAAAAAGGATAGAGGTTTGCCAGGAAGAGGAAACACACGGCTGACTGCCTCTTGGTACACCAGGCAGCAACGCAATGAAACCCCAAGCGGATGGAAGGAAGGCATGAGGCAGAATGGGATGGGAGCCTGGATGGCAGGTAGCACGGCTGGGCGGCGCGGATGCATCAGCGCTTGCTAGCACGACCTAGACAAAACGGGCCACTGGCCTGTGGGTGCAACACATGGGACAGAATCCCTTGCATCGCAGCCTGCCAGCATCGCTGTGCTGCAACCTTGTAATTGGTCAAGTCACATAATGCTGCAAATGTGGCCAATGATCGGACCAGGCGCGCCAACTAAGCAACCATCAATGTGGGCAAATTTGTCCGGTGGTCACCGCCAGGCCTTGCTGGCACCGCGGGAATCTGATATTCCCTGTACTTCCGGCCAACTACCTACACTCGGACCGTGTAGGAATCGCTTTCAGGGTCATATTTGTTACAACGTAATGGCATCAGTGTCACTAAAAAAAATTCCTGAAATTTCAGAGTCATGTGGCATGTAAAGGCTGAAAAATCAGCCCCACAAAAAGCTGAACACTGGAAATTCAGGGTAGGTAAAAAAAAAAAACCCCTGGAAATCAGGAATTTCAGGGAAAAATTCTTGATATCGTAGGGCCTGATGGTTCCCGTTTAATTCCTCAGCCCCAGGCCCAGAGCTTCCGTGCTACTGTACCAAGCTTCTCTCCTTAGACAACACCACCGGCCATCAGGATATCAGGATGCCTAAAATCCTTGCAAAGGACCTTATAGCATTGTAGGTTGTTGGTGCACCCTTGATCCGTTTATGTAACCTCCTCCTCAGATGTTTGTAGTGCAGTACAATTACAAAGGAAGTGCGCCCAATTTTATTGTTACACCCTTTCATCGGACTGTACAATCCTACATCACTGCATTTTTACTGTTCAGCCCTAAGTGGAGCAAATATGTGGTTGAGAATACGGCCAAGGCGCACCCCACCCATTGCAATGCGCCTCTCCACAACGGGCAGGCGAGACTTGAAATACTCATCTTTGGAGTTTGATGAAGAAGTGGATGGTGCAGTGCGGTGAAATTGAGGACAAGGATGGGTAGGAGGGCGGGCGGAAATAGGAGGCAATGCCGGGTTTAAATGGTTGGTAGAGAAGGGTCTTTGCGAAAGGAAGAGCACCGTTGATTTGAACGGCATATGGAGAGGAAAAAAAACAACTTTGGTAGGTATGGCGTGCGGAAGTGGGGAAACGTCAGAACTGTATGCTTTTTGCATCTCTTAAACGAGCCTAGGAAATAACGAGTGGAATTTCACACATGAGCAACGTCCGTGCCTGACAAGCAATGGCTTTTTTCTTCCTGAAGACAATTTGCATGCACAAAGACAGACCTCCAAGCATGGCTCCAGGTGTCGCGTTGCGATAGGCCCACTTGCATGCATCCTTTGCGCTCTCCATGGCATATCTGATTGGGCGAGGCGATGCAAGGAGATGCGAGCAGATGCGATGAGATTCGCAGATGGGCCAGAGTGTGCCTTTTGAGGCGCCTCAAAAGATGGGTGGAGTGAGGGGGCGCCAGTCAGAATCAAGTGCGTGGAGGGCAGAGGCACTTACACAGCTTTGCAGGCAGCAGCTTGAGCAGGCGAGAGCACCAATGGAGATTCAGCAGCAGCAGCACCCGGAGTCTCACCAGCAGCATCAGTAGGTGCAGGAGAAGGGACATCGCCAGGGCAGGAGGCCCAGGTAGGAATGTGAGGGCGCCAGTCAGAGGCGATATGTGGTGAGCAGAGGCACTTACACAGCTGGGCAGGCAGCAGCCTGAGCAGGAGGAACGGTCGATGCTGCATCAGCAGCAGCAGCACCACCAGGATAAGAACGATTATCCCCAGGGCAGGAGGCCCAAGCAGGGATGAGAGGGCGCCAGTCAGAGGCGAGTTGGTGGGCGATGTGATGCAGCATGGCGGTGCTGTTGCCGTTGTAGTGCCGGTGGATGGCCGTGGCTATGATGTAGTTGTCCCACACCTGGAGGGATGTGAGGGAGTTTGGGAGGCATGGAGAGGGGTTGGGAGGGGTGGGAGGGTGAAGGGACCAGGGCATGAGGGTTGGTTGGCGATGTGATGCAGCATGTTGGTGTGACTGCCATTGTAGTGCAGATCGATGGCTGAGGCCTTGATGTAGTCGTCCCACACCTGGAGTGGAGAGCGGTGGAGAGGGGTGGAGAGGGATGGAAAAGGCTTCAGTAGGGATTAGAGGCCAGTCAGAGGCGAGTTGGTGGGTGATGTGATGCAGCATGGCGGTGTGACAGCCATTGTAGCGCAGATGGATGGCCGAGGCTATGATAAAGCTATCCCACACCTGATGCAGAGCGGTGGAGCACGGTGGAGAAGTGTGAAGAGGAGTGGAGAGGGCGGAGAGGACATAGAGGACATAGAGGGCACGGGTGATGAGGTGCAGTATGGCAATGCAGCTGCTGTTCGCATGGCATGGGATGGCATGGCATGCCATGGCATGGGATGGCATGGCAAATACCGCATGCAGGTTGGTCTTCCTCTTGAACCATGTCACATGCACCATGTTGCCTTTAGAGGAGCCTCGACAGCCATGCCATGGCACGGCGGACAGAACTGATGGCCGGGAATGGCATGATAAGGCAGGGCGAACATACCACATGCATGGGAGGGCAGGCGAACATACGATACGACATGGCAGGGAATGGCATGCCAGGGAATGTCAGACATACCGCATGTAGGTTGGTCTTCTGCTTGAACCATGTCACATGTGTTGAGTGCAATACATGGTTTGCACGGCAACCTACCGCCTATTCGCCGACGGTAAAAGAAAATGGGGAGTTTTGTTTGAAGGTGATTTGTGGCGTGAGAAATGTAATCTCATTTTGCATTTTGTGTGTGCGCATTTTGTTTGTGTTATGTGCGCATTCGTCCTTGCATTTTGTGTGTTTCGTTTTCATTTGTAATTGCACTTTGTGTTTGTGCATTTTCAGTTTCGTGTTCACTGTTCTCATGATGCGCTCAAATGAGGCTCACATGATGCGCTCAAATGAAGCTCTCATGAAGCGCTCATGAAGCGCTCAAATGAGGCTCCCATGACGCGCTCAAATGAAGCTCAAATGAAAGCTCAAATGAAAGCTCTCATGAAGCTCCAATGAGCCTCAAATGAGCTTCCCATGAAAGTCCCATTTGTTTTTCATGTTTCATGCGTGTCCCATGCGAGCGGGTGGTGTACCATGGGGCGTTTCTGTGGGGCTCGACACTTTGACTCGTCAAAGGGGGTGCTGTTGACTTTCGCGCTGGTCAAGCACGCAAAATCTTGACCGCGCGTGTGGTCCTGATTTCGCGTGTGGGCCCTGAGGGCCCGAGCGTGTGCTCGCGCACTGTTGCGAGCGTGGCAGGGCCCACGATCGCAACAGGACAGGGCGAATGATCGCCCTGTCCACGCGCAGTACAGCACGACCAGTTTGTCTGGTCGTGCATGATTGCGCGCCTGAGGGGTGCTGCGGGATTCCGAAGGGTGCTCGGAATTTACAGTTGAAAAACTGTTTTTCGGAGTTGACTCACGGAACAAGAAATTGCGCACGAAAGTCACACCGCTTTGCGGAATGATTTCGACGCAGGTACAAAACGGTTATTCCGTTTTCTCAACGGTAAAAACCGTTTTACAACTGTTTGCTCGCATTCATGAGTGCCAAATTGGAGCTACATTGGAACTCATGAGTGCACTCATCTGAGTCAGCAAGGTAATTGTCATATGTGGAATTTGAAGACAGGTATTTTCAAGAGGAGAATCAAGTCAAATTCGCAAGGAGTTGAGCAACCGTTTTCAAGTACAGCATGGCGAATGTCCGAAATTCAGTTTTACAACTACTTTGCTATTTCCCTATGCATGTGTGCTATGCGAAATATAAAACGTGTGCTTGTGCTTGATTGTGCTCAATCCTTTCTAGTGGAAATATTTTCTGAATCTCTTCGACGAGTTAAGTTGCTCTATCAACGTATTGACGTGAAGAGCTTTTCTGCACACGAGCCAATCCGTCGTCGAATGCTGCGCAACGAAGTTTGGGAAAGCTCTTGTACGCACGATAATTTTCATAATTAGGGAAATCCCTCTTCAAACATGGACCCTTGGATAGGGGCTGGTTCTACCAGGCACCCAAGGACCCTTGGAGGTGACCCCGTGGGGACTACCTAGTGTTGATTAAAGGTGTGTTAAGAGCCTCTTCATCCCAAATAACGGTCAACAACATGCACCCTGCTGCCTTTAGAGGAGCCTCGACAGTCATGCCATGGCAGGGCAGATAGAACTCATGGCCGGGAATGGCATGGTAAGGCAGGGCGGACATACCACATGCATGGGAGGGCATGGCGAACATACGACATGGCAGGGAATGCCATGCCAGGGCATGTTATACATACCGCATGCAGGTGGGTCTTCTGCTTGAACCATGTCACATGCACGCTGTTGCCTCCGAAATCAGATGTGAATCCCAAGTGCAGCGGCTGCACCAGGGAATATGAAGCAGACGGATAAAGGCATGGGGGAGAGAAATTAGAGGACCACGTGCAGCGGCTGAAGCAGGGGGATGTGTTTTGAGTCGACTCAAAACAGAGAAATTAGAGGGCCATGTCACGTGCACCCTTTATTGCCACCCAGGTCAGATGTGAATCCCACGTGCAGCGGCTGAAGCAGGGGCACGTGGGACAGATGGGTGGAGGCATGGAGGGGGGGGAGGGAGAGGGAGAGGATTGGGAGACCACGTCACATGCACCCTGCTTCAGCCACGTGACATGAGGCAAACGGATGGAGGCATGAAAAAGAAGGGGAATTGGGCGACCATGGCATCTGAGCCAAGCTAACATCTGAGCTTTGAGACGTCTAATAACGACCATCCTCACCTGGTGAATGTCCCCAACATGAGCGCCTCTGTCAGGTTGTAATGTTTGATGGACCCCGCGCACAGTGCTGCTCGCTGCTCACTAGCAGCAGCAGCACCACCACCAGCAGCACCAGCACCAGAAGCAGCAGCAGCCGCCGCAGCTGCAGCAACAAGCGAGGCATGAGCAGCACTCCTCGCACTATTCCGTACCACTCCCCTTACCACCCGCACCATCTCCTCTTCCCCTTCTCCCACTTCCCCTTCTCTCTCTTCCCCTTCTCCCTCTTCCCCTTCTCCCTCCTCCGCTTCTCCGTCCTCCTCACCCATTCCCAGCACCCCAGATTCTGCCTCACCTACCCCCCTGAGAAGGCTGCGCCGGTGAGGGGAGGTGGGGAAAGTGACAGGCTTGAAGGGAGTGGCGGGTTGGAGGGAGGATGGAGGGATGGAACGCTGGCGAGAGGAATGGGGCTGTGCGGAGGAATGGGGAGAGTAAGTGAGGAGCTGGGATGTGTAGTTGACGATAGCGTTTGCAACACACACACCAGGGTGATGGGCAAAGGTGCAATCTCCTGTAGGGGGAGGAGGAGAGTGAAGGGGACGAGATGGGGATGAAAGAGTAGGTGGGATGGAAGAGTAGGAGAGGCACTGAGACGCGCAATTCTAATGCACTTGAAGAGCAGGAGCACGGAGCAGCAGAGGAGCAGACTTTCTAGGCGACTCAGAAGTTGACTGTGAAGCAGCAGACCACTTCCCTGGAAAGGCCTATTCCCTGGTATCCCTGCTGTGCGCTCGTGGGCTTCGACACTCACCCTTCATTTAAAGAACCTTGAAGTCCACAAGCAATCGATTTTTTAGGCGCCATATATATATATATATATATGTATATATATATAATTTAATATTTATAGGCACCTCAAAGAACGTTAAAACGGCGAGCACACAGCAGGCATTGAGAGAGAGTTCTCCAAGGGGCACGTTGGCTGGGGTGTCACCATACCTTACCTACCGTACCGAACCGTACCATACCGTGCCGTACCCAGTCAGATTAACTCACGGCGTTCGTCATACGAGCAGGCGAAGTCAGGGTCAATGAAGTGCAGAGGCGTTGACCATACGAGCACACGGCAGACAGGCAGGAAGAGGGAGCACCTTCAGGGAGCATACACCCAGTTACCAACTCACGGCGTTCATCATAGGAGCAGGCGAAGTCAGGGGTACCAGCGAAGTGCAGAGGCATGGACCATTCCCAGCCCTTGCTGTGCAAAATGTCGTCCGCCCACGAGCACACGGCAGGGAGGCTGCCCTCAGCGACGGGGGGAAGCAGCGCCTTCACTGCTGCTGCTGCCTCGTTGGTCAGAAGAGCCTGGATGGGCAATTGGGGTTCGAGGATGAGCGAGCCACAGATGGGAAAGATGAGGGATGATCAGCCCATAAGGCACGCACACCGCAGGGAGGCTGCCCCTGGCTGTGGGGGGGAGCAGCGCCGCCACTGCTGCTGCTGCCTGGATAGGGAGGGAGGGAGGGGGGTAGGAGGCGAGAATATAGGAAGGCTGAGGCCTGATGTGCCCACGAGCGCACCGCAGGGATGCTGGCCTTAGCGATGGGGGGCAGCAGCGCCGTGAAAGCGTGGCCGTCGTGACCTCTTGCCATCTCAGGATGTTCCCCAAAGCACCTAAGCTGCCTAAGGTACATCGTACGGACGGAACCCCACCTGCGCGATGGCGCAGGTGAACGCGTGGCCGACGTGACCCCACGCGTGGCGCCCGATGCGAGCCGCGGAGAGCACAGCGAGGACCGACACGAACGCTACAAGCAAGCGGGGGTGCGACGGGCCGCGACGAGCGGCTTGGAGGACGCAACCCGCCATGGGGGAACGGAAACGCTGGGAGATGCTTTTGAGAAGGCGTCGCACGCTGGGCGATAAATGCTCGCATCTTCGTTACAAGCGTAATAAGAGAGAGCGAAACGATGGCGGAGGAAAAGAGGGGAGGAGTGAGGACGCGTCGCCTCTGGCTCATTTCTGGCTCATGAGGAATGCAATATGCTAGATTTCATTGCCTCATGAGCCAGAAATGAGCCATCAGAAACACCAGAAGCACTAGCAGCAACAGCAGCAGCAGCAGCAGCACGAGAAAGAACGTCTCCAGGGCAGGAGGCCCAGGCAGGGATGAGGGGGCGCCAGTGTGAGGCGAGTTGGTGGGCGATGTGATGCAGCATGGCGGTGCTGCTGCCGTTGTAGTGCCGGTGGATGGCTGAGGCTATGATAAAGCTATCCCACACCTGATGCAGAGCGGTGGAGAAGGGTGGAGAGGGATGGAAACGGCTTCCTCAAGAATGAGGGGCGCCAGTCTTAGGCGAGTTGGTGGGCGAAGTGATGCAGCATGGCCGTGCAGCATGGGGCCGCCAGTGGATGGCTGAGGCGATGATGTCACTGTCCCACATCTGGAGGGATGTGCAGGAGTTTGGGAGGCGTGGAGAGGGGTTGGGAGGGGTGGGAGGGTGAAGGGATCAGGGCATGAGGGTTGGTGGGCGATGTGATGCAGCATGGCGGTGTGGCTGCCGTTGTAGCGCAGGTGGATGGCCGTGGTGTGGCTATGATGTGGTCGTCCCACACCTGGAGTGGAGAGCGGTGAAGAGGGGTTAAATCAATGATCGACGAGATGCAGCACCCTGCCGTTGTAGCGCAGACGTACCACCATGCTGCACCTCGTCGACCAATAAACCCCTTCTCCACCTCTCTCCATGGCCATGGCTATCATGTAGTCGTTCCATACATGGAAGGGTCCTCAGGGAGTGCAGGGTGGTGAAATGGTGTGGAGAGGGGTGCAGGAAAAAAAAAACAGATGCCATAAAAACACCAACAAGCTGCCACATTACGGATGTCATCCTGGTTATTTCCATGAATAGCATGGCATGGCATGGCATGGCATGGCATATTGCATCAGGTCAGGGCGGGCATATCGCATGCATGGCATGGCATGGCATGGCATGGCATGGCAGGGCAGGGCAGACATACCAGCTGCAGGTTCGTTTTCCTCTTGAACCATGTCACGGGCACCCTGATACCTTTAGAAGAGTCTCGAGTGTCAACAGTCATGCCATAGCAGGGTGGGCATTTGGAAGAGAAGGGAAAAGACAGACATACTGCATGCAGGTTTGTCTTCTGCTTGAACCATGTCACATGCACCCAGTTGCCACCGAAATCAGATGTGAATCCCACGTGCAGAGGCTGCACCAGGGGGAATGGAGGCATTGGGGGTGGGGGGGTGAGAGGGTGGAAAACTGAGAGCCCATGGCACATTCACCCAGTTGCCACCGAAATCAAATGTGAATCCCACATGCAGAGGCTGCACCAGGGAATATGAGGAAGACGGATAGAGGCATGAGGGAGAGAAATTGGAGTCTCATGTCACGTCCACCCTTTTTGCCGCCCAGATCAGATGTGAATCCCACGTGCAGCGGCTGCAGCAGCGGGATGTGGGACAGATGGGTGGAGGCATGGAGGTGGGGGAGGGAAAGGGAGAGGATTGGGGGGCATGTCACGTACTGCCCAGGTCTGATATGAATTCCACGTGGAGTGGCTGAAGGAAGGGGATATGAGGCAATCGGATGGGGGCATGGAAGGGGGGGGAAATGGGAATTTTTGAGACGTCTCAAAAATACTCTTGTTACAGGAAGGGGACATGAGACAATTGGATCGAGGCATGGGAATGGGAATCCCACGTGCAGCGGCTAAACCTAGGGGAAATGGGGCAGACAAATGGAGACATGAGGGCGGGGGGACTGGGGGATTTAGACAGGCGCAACCTGTTGCCGCCCAGAGTTGGTGTGAATCTCACGTGCAGAGGCTGAAGCAGGAAGATATGGGGCAGACAGATGGATGCATGGGAATGAGGGGAGAGGGGGGGATTGGGTGACTCAGACTCGCACCCTGATGCCGCCCAGAGCTGGTGTGAATCCCATGCGCAGGCTGAGGCATTGGGGAGCGACGCATGGAGACACAGAGGATGGAATGATTTTGAGACGTCTCAAAAACTCTCTCATTGCATGAGGAGTGGAAATGGGGGACGGACCAGCGTACGCCCATTTGCCAATGTCAACCCCACGTGCAGAGGCTGAACGAGGACTTTTGCCCGGAAAGGGGGGGTAGAGGTGGTGGGGGGGGAGAGAAATGGAGCGACGGAGGGGTCAAACTTGCACCCCTATTGCCGCCCATAACTGAGGTGCATCCCACGTGCAGAGGCTGAACTAGGGGCTATGCGGTTAAACATGCACCCTTCCTTGCCTCCCACCTCACCTGGTGGGTATCTCCTGCAAAGTGCGCAAGGAACATGAGCGCCTCTGTCAGGCTGTAGCTTTTACTAACAGACCCCACACCTGTCGTCCTTGGCCCTTTGCATATATGTGCACGCGCTCCACCATCCTCACCTGATGAATATCCCCTGCAAAGTGCGCAACGAACATGAGCGCCTCTGTCAGGCTGTAGCTTTTACTAACAGACCCCACACCTGTCGTCCTTGGCCCTTTGCATATATGTGCACGCGCTCCACCATCCTCACCTGATGAATATCCCCTGCAAAGTGCGCAAGGAACATGAGCGCCTCTGTCAGGCTGTAGCTTTTACTAACAGACCCCACACCTGTCGTCCTTGGCCCTTTGCATATATGTGCACGCGCTCCACCATCCTCACCTGATGAATATCCCCTGCAAAGTGCGCCAGGAACATGAGCGCCTCTGTCAGGTTGTAACGGGTAGAATTGTCTGCTCCTGATGCTCTTTGCTTAGTTGCGTATGTGTGCACCCCACCCACCTCACCTGGTAGATATCCCCTGCAAAGTGCGCCAGCATCAGCAGCACCTTTGTGAGGTTGTAGCCTCTGATAGACCCCCCATCTCCTAACAGACCCCACACCTGTCGCTCTTTGCCCTTTGCACATGTGTGCACTGCTATCGCCCTCACCTGGTGGATATCCCCTGCAAAATGCGCGAGGAACATGAGTGCCTCTGTCAGGTTGTAGTGTCTTATGGACCCCGCATCCAGTGCTGCTTGTTGCTCACTAGCACGACCACTGGAAGCAGCAGCAGCAGCACCACCACCACTAGCAGCACCAGCAGCAGCAGCAGCAGCAGCAGCACCACCACCACTAGCACCAACAGGAGCTGCAAAGGTTGAGGCATGAGCAGCACTCCAAGCACCGTCTCCAACCACTCCCTTTACCACCTGCACCAGCTCCTCTTCCCCTTCTCCCACCTCCCCACTTCCCTCTTCCTCTTCTACCTCTTCCCCTTCTCCCACCTCCCCACTTCCCTCTTCCTCTTCTACCTCTTCCCCTTCTCCCACCTCCCCACTTCCCTCTTCCTCTTCTACGTCTTCCCCTTCTCCCACCTCCCCGCTTCCCTCTTCCTCTTCTACCTCTTCCCCTTCTACCTCCTCCGCTTCTACCTCTTTACCGTCTCCCTCCTCCTCACCCCTCCCCAGCACCCCAGCATCTGTCTCATCCACCCCCCTGAGGAGAAGACTCCGCCGGTGAGGGGAGGTGGGGAAAACATCAGGCTTGAGGGGAGTAGGGGGTCCGGGGGAGGACGAAAGGAAGGTACGCCGGAAAGGGGATTCGGGCTGGGCGGATGGGTGATGGGGTGAGTAGGTGAGGAGCTGCGAGGAGTAGTTGGTGAATGCGTTGGTAACGCACAGACCAGGGTGATGGGCGAAGATGCAATCACCTGGAGGGGAGGGAGGAGGGGGGGGAAAGGGGAGAAGGAGGGGGAGGGAGGGAGTGAAATGGGGAGAGCAGGTGAAGCAGTGCAAGGTGTTGTTGATGGTAGGGTTTGGTAGCGCTTGCAACGCACACACCAGGGTGATGGACGAAGGCACGATCGCCTGTACGGGAGGGAGGGAGAAGGGCGGCGAGGGAGGAGAGAGGCGGATGGACGAGTAGGTAGGTGAAGCGCTGGGATGTGTAGTTGGATTGCATTAGCGACGCACACACTGGGGTGACGGGCAAAGGTGCAATCGCCTAACGGCAGGAGGGTGGGGAAAGGAGGGAGCGAAAAGAGAGGAGGATATGGCACTGTAAAAGAGGGGCATGAGACCTTAGGGTGTATTATCCCCAGTCACCCAACTCACGCCGTCCATGATTTGAGCAGGCGAAGTCATTCATATCAATAACACAGAGAGCCGAGAACCAAGCCCATCCCTTGGTGTAGCGACTCGCTTGCTTGGGGTACCGTACCGTACAATACTGTACCACATCATACCCAGTCGGGCCAACTCACGGCGTTCATCGTACGAGCATGCGAAGTCAGGAGTACCAACGAAGAGCAGAGGCGAGGACCAGGTCGACCCTTGCCGAATGGCGATACCATACCATACCGCACTCTACCACATCATACCCAGGCAGAAAAACTCACGGCGTTCATTGTATGTGCAGGCGAAGTCAGGGGTACCAGCGAAGTGCAGAGGCATGGACCATTCCCACCGCTCGCCGTGCAAAATGTCGTCAGCCCACGAGCACACGGCAGGAAGGCTTCCCTGGGCGATGGGGGGCAGCAGCGCCGCCACTGCTGCTGCTGCCTCATCGGTTAGCAAGGCCTGGATAGTGAGGGAGGGAGGGGGGTAGGAGGCGAGAATATAGGAAGGCTGAGGCCTGATGTGCCCACGAGCACACAGCAGGGGGGCTGGCCTTAGCGATGGGGGGCAGCGGCGCCGCGAAAGCGTGGCCGTCGTCACCTCTTGCCATCTCAGGATGTTCCCCAAAGCACCTAAGCTGCCTAAGGTACATCATACGGACGGAACCTTACCTGGGCGATGGCGCACGTGAACGCGTGGCCGACGTGACCCCACGCGTGGCACCCGAAGCGAGCCGCGGGGAGCAGAGCGAGGAGCGACACGAACGTTAGAAGCAAGCGGGGGTGCGACGGGCCGCGACGAGCGGCTTGGAGGACGCAACCCGGCGCCATGGGGGAACGGAAACGCTAGGAGATGCTTTTGAGAAGGCGTCGCACTCTGGCCGATAAATGCTCGCATCTTCGTTACAAGCGTAATAAGAGAGAGAGAGAGAGAGAGAGAGAGAGAGAGAGAGAGAGAGAGAGAGAGAGAGAGAGAGAGAGAGAGAGAGAGAGAGAGAGAGAGAGAGAGAGAGAGAGAGAGAGAGAGAGAGAGAGAGAGAGAGAGAGAGAGAGAGAGAGAGAGAGAGAGAGAGAGAGAGAGAGAGAGAGAGAGAGAGAGAGAGAGAGAGAGAGAGAGAGAGAGAGAGAGAGAGAGAGAGAGAGAGAGAGAGAGAGAGAGAGAGAGAGAGAGAGAGAGAGAGAGAGAGAGAGAGAGAGAGAGAGAGAGAGAGAGAGAGAGAGAGAGAGAGAGAGAGAGAGAGAGAGAGAGAGAGAGAGAGAGAGAGAGAGAGAGAGAGAGAGAGAGAGAGAGAGAGAGAGAGAGAGAGAGAGAGAGAGAGAGAGAGAGAGAGAGAGAGAGAGAGAGAGAGAGAGAGAGAGAGAGAGAGAGAGAGAGAGAGAGAGAGAGAGAGAGAGAGAGAGAGAGAGAGAGAGAGAGAGAGAGAGAGAGAGAGAACGAGAGAGAGAGAGAGAGAGAGAGAGAGAGAGAGAGAGAGAGAGAGAGAGATGAGCGAGAGACGAGAGAGAAACGATGGCGGAGGAAAAGAGGGGAGGAGTGAGGACGCGTCGCCTCTGGCTCATTTGGCGATCGATCCTGCGCAGGATCGATCGGTTGAGAATGTTTGGATGCAATATGCTAGATTTCAGTGCGGTGGACGATTGGTTTCGCATCGTGGAAACTCGAAGCAGGCGAGGTGAGGTGACGACGCGTCCTGAAGGAGTGTGAACGAAAGAAAAGAGAAGGGATCCCAAATTCACTGCTGTGCATGTCATCGCTGCGATGTGCCTGGGCTGAATTGCAGTTGGGAATGAATCGCAATTTCGTTTCGGCAAGAACCGGATTCAATCTTTCTGAATCCCAATGGAACACGCTTGATCGCAAGAAGCACTTATTCATGCACCACTTATTACCACATCTCATATACTTTGTAGCACAAATCCTTCTTAAAATTTGTTACCTACACAGACGATTAACTGTTTACAGATATCTAAATATGCTGCAATCACTAGTTTTTTACTGTACAGCCCTAAGAGGAGAAAATATGCGGTTGAGAATACGGGCAAGGCGCACCCCACCCATGGCAATGCGCATCTCCACAACGGGCAGGCGAGACTTGAAATACTCATCTGTAGAGTTTGATGAAGAAGCCAACGGTGCGGTGCGGTGGGGTTGGGTGACAAGATGGGATGGGCAAGGAAGAACGAAGGAGACAATGGTGGGTGGAGAAGGATATTGGAGGATTGTTGTGAAAACATTATCATTAATTTGAAACACCAAACGTACTGAAAAATTGACCACTTTGGGAGGCATGGCGTGAGGAAATTATGAAACCCAAGATTTGTATGCTTCCTTTGCACCTTTTTAAAGCGTCCGGGAAGTGAATCAAAATGATTGAGCTGCTTGTGGCGAAGTGAAAGTTTCTTAGGTACAACTTTTTGCATGCACAAAAACGCACCTCCAAGCACGGCTCCAGGTGTCGCGTTGCGATAGGCCCACTTGCAGCATCCTTTGCGCTCTCCATCGCATATCTGATTGTGCGAGGTGATGCAAGGAGATGCAAGGAGGTGCAAATAGGTGCGACGAGATACACCGCTGGGCAGCTGGAAGGGTGGAACGAGGGGGGCGATAGTCAGAGGCGAGAATGTGGAGAGCAGAGGCACTTACACAGCTGGGCAGGCAGCAGCTTCAGCAGGAGAAAGATGCGATGAGATTTGAGCATCATCAGAAACACCAGAAGCACTAGCAGCAGCAGCAGCAGCAGCAGCACGAGAAAGAACGTCTCCAGGGCAGGAGGCCCAGGCAGGGATGAGGGGGCGCCAGTCTGAGGCGAGTTGGTGGGCGATGTGATGCAGCATGGCGGTGCTGCTGCCGTTGTAGCGCAGGTGGATGGCCGAATCTATGATAAAGCTGTCCCACACCTGGAGGGATGTGAGGGAGTTTGGGAGGCGTGGAGAGGGGTTGGGACGGGTGGGAGGATGAAGGGACCAGGGCATGTGGGTTGGTGGGAGATGTGATGCAGCATGGCGGTGCTGGTGCCATTGTAGTGCAGGTGGATGGCTGAGGCTACGATGAAGTCGTCCCACACCTGGCGTGGAGAGCGGTGGAGAAGGGTGGAGAGGGGTGGGGATGGTGAAGGACCCTGAAGGCATGATGAACGGTGTGATGCAGCAGCAGGCTGGTTCAGCGCAGGTGGATGGCCAAGGCTATGATGTATATGTCCCACACCTGGAGGGATGCGAGATGTTTGAAGAGGAGTGGAGATGGGTGGAAGGGGGTGCGAGGAAAGAAAGGAGAATGTTAGGAGATGTGGTGGAGCATGGTGGTGCAGATGCTGCTGCAAGGGGAATGGATGGCGGTGGGAATGAGGATGATGGATGGCGGTGGCTTGAGAATGAAATAGCATGGTATGCCATGCCATGGCACAGCAGGGAAGCACACCGCATGTATGGTATAGGATAGTGGACATACTGGCATATGGCATGGCATGGCATGGCATGGCATGGGATGGTACCAGATGGCATGGCATGGCATGGCATGGCATGGTACCAGATGGCATGGCATGGCATGGTATGGCAGACAGACATACCGCATGCAGGTTGGTCTTCCTCTTGAACCATGTCACATGCACCCTGTTGCCGCCCAGATCAGATGTGAATCCCACGTGCAGAGGCTGCACCAGGGGATATGGGAAGATGGGTGAAGGCATGGGAAGGAAGAGGGAGAGGGAGAAAATTGGGGGACCATGTCACATGCACCCTGTTACCGGCCAGGTCTGATGTGAAGCCTACGTGCAGAGGCTGCACCAGGGGGGCATGGGACAGATGGTTGAAGGCATGGGGGAAGGGAAAATTAGAGGATCGTGTCACATGCACCCTGTTGCCACCCAGATATCATGCAAAGCACACATACAGCAGCTGAAACGGAGGCATTGGGGGGAGATGAATGGAGGCATGGATGGAGGCAGAAGAGGAATGGAAGCAGAAGAGGAATGGAGGCACCAAATAACCGCGAATGGTCCTTTATTGAATTGAGCAGATAAGAACCGCCCTGTCACCGCCCTGTTTTGACCTTAGGTGAACCTCACGTGCAGCGTCCAAGTAACTGTTGACAATTCTTAAACGTGCAGCGTCAGCAGCAGGGGGATATGGGTGGATGAGTGGAGGCATCATGCATGGAAACAGGCAGGAGAGAAATTGGCAGGAGAGGCAGGCTTAACATGGCCTCAAGAACACACCTGACTAACCGCACCTGAATAACCACACCTGACCAGGCGCACCCGACCAGGCGCACCTGACCAGGCGCACCTGACCAGCCGCACCTGACCAGGCGCACCTGACCAGCCGCACCTGGTTAACCGAACCTGACCACCGCACCTGGTTAACCGAACCTGACCACCGCACCTGGTTAAAATGGTAGATTTGAGACGTTTCAAAACTTCTAACCTCACCTGATGAATGTCGCCTGCAAAGTGCGCTAGGAGCGCCCCTGCAAAGTGGCCTCGACTGACAGACCCCACACGCGGCACCCTGCGTAACTTGCTTCACAGCCTCGGGCTCCTTGGCGCCTTGGCTCTTTGCGGCACATGTGCGCCCCACCACGAACCTCACCTGATGAATATCCCCCGCAAAGTGCACCAGGAACATGAGCGCCAGTGTGAGGTTGTGGTGCCTCACAGACCTTGCCCCTGTTGCGCGTTGCTTGGTTGCACATGTGCGCCCCACCACGAACCTCACCTGATGAATTTCCCCCGCAAAGTGCGGCAGTAACATGAGCGCCTCCGTGAGGTTATAGCCTCTGATGGACGCCTCACCCTTTGCTCCTTGCTCCTTTGCTTCTGTGCTCCCTTGCCGTTGCTTATACGTTCAATCTCCCCATCCTCACCTGGTGAATGTCCCCCGCAAAGTGCGCGAGGAACATGAGCGCCTGTGTGAGGTTGTAGCGTTTAATGGACCCCACATCCACTGCTTCTTCCTGCCTAGCAGGAGACTTTTGAGCCAACTCAGAAGCCACACCCACAGCTTCTTTCTGCCTGGCAGGAACCGCAGCAGCAATGATTGAAGCATGAGCAGCTTTTCTTGCCCCATCTCGCACCACTCCCCTTACCACCCGCACCAACTCCTCTTCCCCTTGGCCCACCTCCGGTACTCCCTCTTTCCCTTCTCCCTCCTCCCCAGCCCCCCCAAGCACAGCAGCGTCTGCCTCATTCACCCCTCTGAGAAGAAGACTACGCCGGTGAGGGGATTTAAGGAGACCGGCAGGCTTGAGTGGAGTTGCAGATTGGGCAGAGGAATGGGGTGAGTAGGTGAGGAGCTGGGAGGTGTAGTTGATGATTGCGTTGGCCACGCACACACCGGGGTGATGGGCGAAGGCGCAATCGCCTGGAGGGCAGGGAGCGTAGAGGGAGTGAGAGGGACGGAGAGATAGGTGATGCGAGAGGAGGTGGAACGTTGGGTTCATTATGAAGTGAAGAGGCAATGACCAGGCACACCCTTTGGTGTCAGCCCACTCACGAGAACAGCAGGGAGAGAAAGGGAGAGCAAACTCAGGGAGGGGCCAACGTTTTACTAGAGAGAAAGAGAGAGCAACAGGAGGGAAAAAACATGACTAACCAACTCACGGCGTTCATCGTACGAGCATGCGAAGTCAGGGGTATCAATGTAGTGCAGAGGCGCGGACCACGCCCACCCCTTGGTGTGCCCAATCACATCAGCCCACGAGCACACGGCAGGGAGGCTGCCCTTAGCGACCGGTGGGAGCAGCGCCGCCACTGCTGCTGCTGCCTCGTCCGTTAACAATGCCTGGATCAGCGAGGGAGAAAAGGGGATTAGCCCACGAGGAACGTGGAAGAACGAAGCTTGGTCCACCCACGAGCACACGACAGGGAGGCTGCCCCTGGCCATGGGCGAAGCAGCAAGGCGTGAGGAACCAGGCGGAGGAAAACAAGGTACGGTTACACCATCCTGGGCCACGCATTCGCGTGATACCATCCCGTCCTTACTTTCTCTAACGTCTCGGTTTTTTTTTTTTTTTTTTTTTTTTTTTTTGCTCTCTCAACTCTTTACGGTGCACGAGAAAACATAAGAAACCCCACCTGCGAATTGACGAAGGTGAACGTGTAGCCGTCGTGGCCCCACAAAGCCTCGTGCTGCCTCAGATAGTTATAAGACCAGACTTAGTTAGCTAAGCTACTACTTAACACAGCTTACCTGTGCGATGGCGCAGGTGAACGCGTGGCCGACGTGGCCCCACGCGTGGCACCCGATGCGAGCCGCGGGGAGCAGAGCGAGGAGCGACACGAACGCTACAAGCAAGCGGGCGTGCGACGCGGCGCGAAGAGCGGCTTGAGGAACGACACGCGCCATGGGAACGGGAACGGGAAATGCTTTCCTCAGTGAAGAAAAAATTCTTCGAATCTCCGCTGTTTCAGGTTACTAAGATAAGGCGATGGCGCAGGAGCGGAGGAGGGTGAATGAGCGGAGGAGTGTGAATGAGCGAAGGAGGGTGAATGAGCGGAGGAGGGTGAATGAGCGGAGAGGCAGAAAAAAAAGGAATTTGGAATTCAGTGAACACTGCTGCAAGCGGGGTACCTGCGCTCTGTCACTGGGGGTACAGTCGGTGCTCATTTCAAGAAAACCAGGTAGGCGGGCGGCATGTGCGTGAAACGTGTTTCAGGCATTCGCCACATTCGCCCTTGTCGCCACGGGCGAAGATGTGACTGTAATATGAAATTGCATTGTGAATTGATTTAAGGGTTTTAATTTCGTAACCAGGTAAACTTTTCAAATGACGGGCAACCGTTGTTGTTTATGAGCTGTAGATGTTTTTCTTCCTCAACGTGGTGACTGTACCCCGAAATCGGCACAATGGTCAATTTAGTCACTCACGGGCAAAACGTTCGCGAGTGACTAAATTTCTGATTGTGGGAAACAAATGTTTTGTGATAGGCTGAGCATCGACTGTACTTGCGGGCAGAACATCCCAGGCTGCTGCTGCTGCTGCTGGAGTACATGCACAGGCATTGAAATGGCAATTTCGCCACGTACCGTACTTGAACGTTTCGAATCGCAATGGAACCCACTTGAACCAAACGTATTTCGATACAGTGCATGCTCAGCGAACTTAGTTCGGGACCACATCCCGTATCGCAAACCGGTCGCGAAGGCTCAGATGTCTGGCGAAGCGTCACCGCACACACTTTACGTTGTTACATCAGATCGCTAATTCCTCTGTATCGTCGTGATTGATACATCTACAGTTACATAGCCTATGACGAGACTCAAGTAGTGTTGTATAATGTGGCTACTAGAAGAAAAAATATTGAACAGTAAAACCCATTTCACCAACACATGCTTTTCTTGTAATCTTGCACCAGTTTCTGTGCTCTAGGTCCTAACCTTCAGCCCTACCCTACCTAGCTTTTTTGCTTCTCACCCTAACACACACAACCAACCATCATCATACCGTACTGCTTTGCCACACTCTCCTCAAGCATTACCCACCTAGTTGCACGTCCAATCCAAGTGCATCACCACAAGAAAATAATTCGTAATAGTAAATGACTACAGTAGCATGATGCCTCCTTCATCCACCATTGTATCAACAACAGTAGCCAGCTTTCCTTCATACTTCTGTCCTTTCTTCAATCTAAACACCACTGCAAACACATCTACATCCTTCGATCTCTCCGCAATCAGCCTCCCAATCACCTGACAAGCGTTCTCATCCACTAAAGACGGAAGAGACATCCTCAAATCCTTCGCACTTGTAGTCGCAACCGAAACAACCCTGCTGGTAACCCTATGCATCACTTTCGCGCTCACGTAACGCTTGGAAATGTACACGTCGAGAATAAACGGTTTCACAAACTTCTCGTGCCGTTCTTTCCACGACTTGCCTTTGGGTTGGCTGCCTTGCTGCCACTGCCCCCTGCCGACTTGCCTCCTTTCCGAGTCCATCCAGCAGCCTCTGTTTTGGGGAGGATACGCATGCTTCTCTGGCCGGTGGGGTTCAGCGAGCTGCCCCACCCCTGCAATGGAATCAAGGAACAAAGGGATGGAGGAGGAATGAGTGGTGTTCTCAGGCAATCACTGGGGTGCGTTGAGATGCACAGGGAATCACAAGGGTGCAGAACGGTGCATAGGAAGTTTTTCTCTGGCTGGTGAGAGTGAGCGAGCTGTCCCACCCCTGAAGAGAAATCAAGGAACAACGGGAGATCCAGAGGCGAAGGGGGTGCAATGTGAGGCGTGCACAGGCTGGAACAGGGGTACACTGAGGTGCAGAGGGGTTCACAGGGCGTTCAGGGGTGCGTAGGGTTGTAAAGGCGTGTGTAGGAGTGCACTGGGCTGCATGACAAACGAAGAGAAGCAACGGGATGCGAGAACATGAACTCTGGGAGGGAGGGTTCAGTATGGTGGGGAGAGATTATGAATTGGTGACGGGAAATGGCCCAACACAATGGCGTCATTTGAGGCGCCTCAACGATTATGGACTTTTGAGGCGCCTCAAATGATTATAGATTGGTGAGGGCTGGCCCAACACAATGGAGTCAATCCGACAGTGTAGGCGTCTTCGTGCAATCTTTATCTACTCCTCCTATCTACTTGCATTAAACCACGCCAATTCAAACCACACTCCTCGTAAGCCATACCCGGCCGTATCTCGGTTACCAGTACAGCATTGCTCATATTGTAAAGTGTACCGAAAAGTGTTATGTTGTATCATAGAGTCATACCCCATAGTATCATACCGCGTTATGCCGTACAGCAGATACGAACGAGCTGGTGCCGATGGAATCGCCAAGAAATGAGAAGCTCCACGCCAGTGACTTGTAGAGAGACCTGCTAATAACGGTTCTGCGAACGGCACAAGACTCGATCGCGATGGAGCTAGCCGCGGCGAGACAGACCATCGGACGGCGCTCCGCGATATCGCCATCGAGCTTATCGAGGCCATCTAAAACGCGCTGATCGCCGCCGGAACTTGTAGGGATATTTATTGCCGTAGTGGACTATGGTTAGGGGTTCACAATGTCTGCACGAATAAGGCTCGGCGCGTCAGCTCAGCGGAAGCGCAACAGCAGGCTTGGATTAGCGCGACATTAGCTGCGACAGGATAAGTGCGTCCGCCATGAAAATGGGGAGCACCGTGTGTGTTGCCAAGAAGAAACCATCGAATGGACCGGCGTGGCTTTCGTTTCGGAACAGACAACTCGATATAGCACTCAGTTGGCGAGAAATACATTGACACAACCATGTGACGTTTACAATCATTTTCTCTACAACTACATTCAAGGATGATGAAAAGATTACTTGGGATAGAGACAGAGACAAACTGCCGATACTACATTCATAAGAAGCCTTAACGATTTCCTACCTACTGACCGAGCCGTTTCAACACAGAATACAACCTACCATACTCGCGTACCGTACTATTGCGAGCAAATGAACAGTACAAATAACCCTCTTTACAGCAGCTTCTTCCGATGGAAGTAGGAGAGCAAGAACCATAGCTGGATGGATGCTAGAGCCACACAGATTAGCAGCGATGTGATACTAATGAAGGCCACCCGCTCGTTGGTCAGCTCATTAGAGTCTCGAATCTCCGACTCCCTTGAAAAATGAAAAGAAAAGATGGGAGAAGGTAGAGCAGCGACGATGGATGGTAAGGAGGGGATGATAGAAAAGCGTAAGACTAGAAAGAGAATCATAGGAAAATAAGAGTGTTGGGGAAAGAGAGGAGGATGAGAAAAGGCTGAGACATTGATGAGTGAGATTTAGGCCACGCATAACAAAAAATCTTGTATGTTGAAAAGAACCTGCACATCGTGTTTCTCTTGCTCTATGCTATCTATCATCCTGTACAAGAAACCGTGGGAACAAGTGCTAGGTTTTAGAGCTGGAGGAATGAAAGTGGGATTGTTGATCCATGGGTAGACTTCCAAACACGTTGTCACCTATTTTCCCCATGTGGGCGAAAGTTACACCCACTCCTCACCATACCTATCCTTTCCAACATCCCGCCTTGCCATAATTGCACCTCCCCAGCACCTCACCTCTGCAGCATTCCACTTCCCCCGCGTCTCACCTGCAAGCCTTTCACCTACCCAACATTCCACCTGCCCAGAAATCCACCTGCCCAGAATTCCACCTGCGCAGAATTCCACCTGCCCAGAATTCCACCTGTCCAGCATCACACCTGCTCAGCATCACACCTGCCCAGCATCTTACCTGCCCAGCATATCACCTACCCACATTCCACCTTCCCCGTGTCTCACCTGCCCCTGAAGCAGGTCATTTCATCTCAAATGGACCTTAGCTCCAGTCCCATTCCCTGTTGCGCCCGCGGCATTCCCCCCGCTCAAACGCAATCCACCCCCCCAGAGTCTCACCTCCCCCGGAAGTAGGTCATTTCATCTCGGATGGCCCGCACTGTCTCATCCAACTTCCGCAGCTCCAACCCCATGCCCTGTTGCGCCGTGTCATGCCATACAATGCCATGCCATGCCATGCCGCACCAAACCATGCCGTGCCATGCCGAATAATGTCATGTCATGGCATACCAAGCCATGCAAACCATGTGATGTCATAGTTCATCCATGCCATGCCATTTTATGTGTACCATCCAATGCCATCGTACATTCCATGCCAAACGATGATGTGAGGGGGGCATGAGGCCATCATCGCATGACCAAGATCGCATGGCCATATGAGTTGAGCAATGACAGTGTGGCCATGCCAGTATGCCCATGTGCATGCTTGAACCTGGGAGTATGTGCATGCATGAACCCGCGGCATGATGTGAGGGAGGTATGAAGTTATGATCGCATGGCCACATGAATCGTCCTGGAGCTATGAGAGTGTATGGGAGTGGGGCCATGCCATGCCAGTATGCACATGGACCTGAGACTATTCTGATGCCCCTGATCCCTTGACCTGAATGTGCTCCGCCTAAAGAAATGGACAGCTCACTGCCTCATCGAGACATGATGGGTGAATTAGGTCAATCAACCAAAACCCGTGATCCGTATAGTGCCCCTGCTCGCTCACATCGATCTTCTCCTTCTTCGCTATGCTCTCCCAGTCTTTAGCAGCCACGCCTGACCGCCACTCCAGGTCCACCTGCCCACACGCGCGCACATGCATGATGGTTACAAGTGAATATGCTGCTTAATCACATGACTCTTCTCTCTCTTTGCTGGGCTCTGCTCGGCCTGTCCTTAGCAGCCACGCCTGACAGCCACTCTAGATCCACCTGCCCACACGCGCGCACATGCATGATGGTTGCAAGTGAATATGCTGCTTAATCACATGACTCTTCTCTCTCTTTGCTGGGCTCTGCTCGGCCTGTCCTTAGCAGCCACGCCTGACAGCCACTCTAGATCCACCTGCCCACAGACACACATGCATGAAGCTTTGCAAGTTAACGGTCAGTTGCGTTCGGATATTCACAACAGTTTAGGTCTAGCTGACCACACGCATGCACGCATGCTGGTTACAGGTCAATATGCTGCTTAATCACATCACTCTCCCCTCAGCATAGTTTTTACAGGTCAATATGCTGCTTAATCACATCACTCTCCCCTCAGCATAGTTTTTACAGGTCAATATGCTGCTTAATCACATCACTCTCCCCTCAGCATAGTTTTTACAGGTCAATATGCTGCTTAATCACATCACTCTCCCCTCAGCATAGTTTTTACAGGTCAATATGCTGCATACCACGAGGAAATGCACCCCAGGAGTGGCATGCAGCATACCACGAACTGCCCTGCTCCGACTCCTTGGTCTTACTGTGACAGGCACTAACCTCTCTCTTATACTCACACACAAAGACATTCGTACCGTGAGCGAGAGCTCAGGAGTGCCATGGGGCATTCAGAAGCACGCCATGATTCATGAGCTGCACTTGAGCTAACCATGGCAACCAACCACACACTTCCTTACATACCATAAGAGAATCCTTGCCCGGCGTGCCATGCGGCATCCAGAAGCAAGCCATGAACTGCCCCAACTCCTCAATGTTACAATCACAGCCAAGAGCCGTGTCATATTCACGCACATAGAGACAATCACATCACACTCGAGTGTACATACCATGAGGGAGTCCTTGCCCGGCGTGCCATGCGGCATCCAGAAGCACGCCATGAATCGCCCCGACTCCTTGGCCGTGAATCCAAAGTGCCCCTCCTCCACGTCACACTGTTCTGCCGCCTTACATTCACTCAATCTCACACAAACCACTCTCACACACATACACATACACATACATACATACATACCATGAGTGAATCCTTGCCCGGAGTGCCATGCGGCATCCAGAAGCATGCCATGAACTGCCCTGATTCTTTGGCCATGAATCCAAAGTGCCCCTCCTCCACGTCGCTCTGCCAGTGCAGCTGCCGCCCAAACGGGGACGTCACCTGCAGAGCGGTGATGTGCGGTGATGGGATGTTATGTGCGGTATGTCAGCAAGAACAGAGACGAATTTGAGCTGCATTATAAGAAGTGTCCCTCCTCCACATCGCTCTGCCAGTGCAGCTGCCGCCCAAACGGGGACGTCACCTGCCGCCCAAACGGTGATGTGATGCGATGTGCGGTCGTGTGCGGTGATGTGATGTGAAGTGCGGTATGTGCAGAGAGAACAGGAGGTTATTTATTTGTACCGCCATTTATTAGGGGCCTCATAAGAAGTGCCCCTCCTCCATGTCGCTCTGCCAGTGCAGCTGCCGCCCAAATGGGGATGTCACCTGCAGAGCGGTGATTGTGCGGCGATGGGATTTTATGTGTGGTATCATGGTATGTCAGCAAGAACAGAGACGAATTTGAGGTGCATTATAAGAAGTGCCCCCTCCTCCACGTCGCTCTGCCAGTGCAGCTGCCGGCCAAACGGAGATGTCACCTGCAGTGATGTGACGTGCAGGGTGTCAGCACAATAGAGGCTGACAGTTTGCTAGGCGCCTCAAATGCAGTTATCTTTGGGGTGCCTCAAACGACATGAGGTGACGGGATGAGCGGGATGTCAGCCATCCCATGCCGGAACATGCCGTACCATACCGTGCCATACCGTGCCATGCAGGAACATGCCACGCAATCCAAGACAAACGTACAGGATGATACATCAATGACTTGTAGTATGTAGTATGGTTTCTGAATGTGTGAGTTGGGCCAATACCATGAAACAAGGACAAACAACGACTTGTATGTTGATTTGTCCTGATTCGTTGTACAGCAACATCACCTCTTGGACAAAACAACGATCCATACCTCCTGTGGGAAAAAAAGCCATCCAAGCTGACCTCATCCTCGTTATTTAGTTCACATGTAAGGAGATGACCTCATAATAGACAGACATGAGAATTTTCGGTCCCAGCAGCACAATCAGCTGTAACATATATGCAATGCAAGTGGTTGAGGCATTTAGTGTGATCGCTGCTCTTTCCGGTTAACACGCCTTGATGGTACAGGTCTGCCAAACCAGTACCCTATGGGACTGAACCTCTTTTATATTGCATATTGCATTATCTATGATATTCTAGCAGTCGCTTGACCTACCTTGCCAGTGATTCTTGGTGTGATCGCTGCTCTCCCCACGCAACGACGATACTATCTCCTCTCGGACCTTCAATTCTTCTGTAAGGGAGTGAGTTCTTGCCTACCTTGGCAGTGATCTTGATGTGAGCGCTGCTCTCGCCGCTCGGCACCACTTGGTTCGTCGCGACGACGAGGGTCCCCTCCTGAATCAAACCTTGTTGTTATCACATCTCCCATTCACGATGAATATGGTATTTCGCCTACCTTAGCGGTGATCTTGGTGAGAGGGCTACTCTCGCCGCTCGGCACCACTTGGTACGTCGCGACAACAAGAGTCCCCCTCCTGAACCTCCTCGCCGAGGACACTTGCTATACGCCGTCACCTCGAACCGGATGCCCGCCACGTGGCTGAATCCGACGGCTAGGATCAGCAAGCACGCTACCAGCCGAGGCGCGGAGACTATTGCCATTGTGACCAGTTTGGATGGGAATGAAATCCCACTAGGTCTGAATCTGTCGAGAGATTAGAAGACAACCAGTCCGGCTACTACTTAGCAGGGTTTTGACGGGAAAATAAGAAGGGATCAAGCGTCAATGATTTCGCATTGTAGTAGAAACGACGAAGGCTAGAATCGCGGACTTAGCGGGCAATGCTGACTATCGAGTGCGGACGAAACTTGGAAAAGGTTACGTTATTAGCACCACGAGGCTCCTACGTAAATGTGACCAAACGCGAACGAAAGGCCACACCAGCCTGACGATTATTGACTTGACAGCCGTAGCTGCTGCAAATCCGCTGCCTTGCCTTGATTATACCCAGCGGTGGTGTTAGTGCGGGTGGGCCTGAAGAGATAGATCCAGCCTTGATGTTGCTGACGAGAGTTGTGTCTGCCTGCAGGCTGGCAATGGCAATCAATAGCACACGATTTCTTCGCAAGAAACAAGTTTTGGGTTTGAAAACCGTCTAAACCACTCAAAACGGCTACGGAATCGTCATTTGAAATCATTCTGCTTTTGACAACCAAAACACGATGTCTTTCCTGCAGACGCGATATTGACTGCTCCACTCGTACTTGTCCCTCCATCTCTAAAAAATCCGTTCTGTCGACTGCTGGACTCCTACTAGTGAGTACCAGGGATCAAGAGCGACAAGCAGTGACAACAAGCGATCATTATCGAAAAGTAGAGACGATCAGCGACAAGTAACGACGACTAGCGACTACGAGCAGTTGTACACCTGCAGGACCTGGGACAGCCTTGGTCCATAGAGTGCGACCGCTACCGCATCGAAGCGAGAGAAGCGCGAAGGATGTGTCAATCTTGTGGCGTATGTATGACGAATGCGGCGAATAACTGACGACAGGCGACCGTTACCGACCATGCTCGACCGCTCCTCATGAAACACGCTTCAGTTACTAACGCGTACGCAGCCATTGCAGTTATGAAGCTGACGCAGGTGCTGTCGCAAGCGCACGCGACAGCTGGTTACAATCGCAACAAGTTCCTCGTTTTCGCGCTGCTGTGTACCAACTGCTTCACCCTCGTCACTCTCTATGGGTACGCGTTACCTACTGGCCGGGACTCGTTACCGTTACACGCCCCTGTCCTCCATACCTCTTCACATCCTCCCGAGCCCTCGAGAGTCCTCGTTTTCCCCAATTTCCTGTCCAACGCATCTCTCCCCCACGACCCGTGTTTCTCTTCTGAGTCGATTTCCTTTTTAATCTCCCACCCCCACAGCCCCTGACTTGCTTCTACCGATCACGCTCATCCTCCACTGAACCCCCCTGTTCCCATCCCCGCCTCCCCAAATCCCCCCTTCCCCCCAAATCCCCCCCTCCCCCTCTCTCTCCCCTTCCCCCAACCAGCACCGTCCCCCGGTTTTCGGGACTCTGGATATGACGACGCCGCGACGTGGATCTGCGCAGCAGCAGCGGCGGGGAAGGGCGCGGAGGGGAAAGCGCATGGGGGAGGAAGGGGTGGCGCGCTTGGGACGGGACAGGGGGGGACATCTGCGCTGCGCCTCTCCAATGCTACAGGACCGCTCTTTCAAGCGAGGGTTCGGCATGCAGGTGAGTGTGTTGAGGCCGGGGATGGGGCCAGGAAAGGGGGAAGGAGGGAAGGGGGACAGCTGGGCTGGGGGAGGTTGAAAAGCAGGGGCCAGGGAAAGACGCCTGCGCTGCGCCTCTCCAATGCTACAGATCGCACGCTCAAGCGAGGGTTGGCATGCAGGCGAGTATGTGTGGGCTGGGGATGGGGCTGGGAGGAGGGGGAAGGGGAGCGGGAAGGGGAAAGGGGAAGAGGGAAGGGGATGGAAAGCAGAGGGCAGGGAAAATTTGCTGCGCTGAGCCTCTCCAATGCCACAGATCGCACGTTCAAGCGAGGGTTGGCCATGCAGGTGAGTGTTCTAAGTCGCCTTACAAGCAAGGACACCTGGGGCGAGGATGAGGAGAAGAGGGCAAAGCAAAGGGGATGTCAGTCAGATATCTCTTCGCTCCACCTCTCCAACGCTACAAATTGCACGTTCAAACGAGGAGGATTCGTCATGCAGGTGAGTGCATGCAGATGCAAGCTGGGCTCTCGATTTTGGATGAGTTGCGTTTCTTGTACGTATGGCCTCTCAACCAGCATAGCCGTCATCCTGTCTGAGTTATCACTTCTTATTCCAACCACCAGCAAATTGGGCCTCCCTGCTGGTGGTTGTTGTCTGAGTGGTATTCCTTGCTTCCAACCACCGGAATCTTTTCCCTTCCCCTTGCATTCTCCCTCCCTCCCTCACCTCCACTCCTTTCCCATGCGCGCCTGCCAGGGCTTTGTGTATTTTCAGCGCATACCGCCTCTCTGCAAGTCTCTTTGTGGTGATGGCCTCTCTCCTCTGCCCTCTGCACCCGCAACCTCGATGCTCGGGTGTGCCGGTGAGTTGTCTCCACTTGGGGCGATTTACGCAGTGGGCTGTATGAGGTAGATATGCTGTGCTGTTCCCCTTGGTGTCTATTGTGCTGCTCTTGAGTCGCCTCATAAGTGGTGCCAATGTTGTTCGGTGTGTTCCCCTTGCTCTAACTCTGCTGCTCTGCTCCAACCTTCACTTGCTCTCCCTCCTCTGATCCGTCCTCCATATTGGCTTCTTCGTTTCCAGCTGGTATCCTGCCACGTCATCCTCCTCCCCTATCCTCGGCGAAGTCTCGATAGAATACCCCGGCGAATCGCACAGCAAGCCGTATGAGGTGGCAATGCTGTTCTGCCAGCTCAGCAGCCCCACCAGCCCAGCACGGGAAGGAAAGGGGACGGGCGGCGAGCGCGGTGCGCGGGGGCCATCTGACGGTTGTGATCCGAACGAGAGGAGATCTTGGTGCTCGGCGAACCGGCCAATGAGAAGTTGCCATTGCCACTCGAGGGTGTGTAGGGTTGCGGTGCAGGTGCTTCTATTGTGCTCCTCCTATAACGAGGGATGTTGGTCCAGTCCGTTCTATTCCATTCCTGCGTGCTTCCTCCCTCCTCTCCCTCTCCCATTCCCCATCTACCAACGCAGCCACAGCATAGACCCTTTCTCCCTCCACACCCTCTCCCTTCCACCCTCCTCTCCCTTTCTCCCCCAAGCCGACCCCAGCCGTCAGCCCCCTACCACAGCAACATCACACCTACTCCTCGCCCATCTATGGCCAGTTCAACTCCCTCAGAGTCCTCGAGTGGGTGGTATACCACCAGCGCAGCACCGCCACTGGATAGACCCGCTCCTCTCCCTCCTTCTCCACTGTTCCTTCCCTCTGTCTGTCCTGCTCCCAGCCCCCAGCTCCCTACCCCAGCAACATCACCTACTACTCCTCACCCATCTACGGCCAGTTCACCCTGAGAGTACTCGAGTGGGTGGTATACCACCAGCAGGGCCACGGCCACTGTGTAGACCTGCTCTCTCTCCCCTCTTTTTGCCCTGCTCCCACCCAGCCCCCTACGCCAGCAACATCACCTACTGTTCTTCGCCCACCTACAACCAGTTCCACTCCCTCAGACTCCTCGAGTGGGTGGTATACCACCAGCAGGGCCACATAATAGACCTCTGCTCTATCTCTTCCGTCCCTTTTCTGCATGCCCATCCCCACGCCCCCAGCCGTCAGCCCCCTACGCCAGCAACATCACCTATTGCTCCTCGCCAATCTACGGCCAGTTCAACTCCCTCAGAGTGCTCGAGTGGGTGGTATACCACCAGCAGGGCCACGGGGTGGACCTGTTCCACATGTACAATGCGGGCGGCATGGGCGAGCCTATAATGCGGACGCTGGGTCCCTTTATAAAGGAGGGGCAGATGACTGTAACGGATGTGACTGAAGTGGACGAATTCGAGACGTGGTTCGGGCAGGTGAGAGGGAGTGGGGGCAGGCAAGAGGGGGTGGGCAGATGAGAGGGAATAGGCAGGTGAGAGGGGGAATTGGATTTGCGCCTTTCGGGTCGGTCCCTCTTCACCTCGTGTAGAGAGGGTGTTTTTGAGACGTCTCATTATAGTCCCTCTCAAAAACACCCTCTCTACACGTGGCCTTTCGGGCCTCTTCACCTCTCTCTGATCTCTGAAATACATTCATAGATGACAGACCGACCACCCACCCTCCTCTTCTCTGCCCACCTCCCCACTTCCTCTCCCCGCCCTTCAACCAGGTGCTAGTGGTGAACGACTGTGCCTACCGCTCACTCTTCACCTCCCGTTGGCAACTATCCCATCCCAACCCGCGGGGCACTCTTCCTGGGCTTTGACGAGTACCTCTACGTCTCCCAGCCCCTCGGCTTTGTCGGAGAAACAGCTCTGCCAGTCATTTGCCTTCCTTCTGGTTCTCTTCTTCTTCTCAGTTCCTTCTGTTGCCTCAGCCACTCTCTGCCCCCTCCTGTGCCCGTGCTCGAGCAGCTTGAGCGCGGGTCACAGGACCAGTACGCTGAGGCCAGTCCCTCTAATCACAGCTGTGTTCGTCTGATGTTCCCTCAACAGTGCCCCTTTTTCATTTTCCAGGACCAGCACCCCAGAAGGGCGCACCTCCTTGACTTTCCAGCGCACTGTCCCCAAGCCCACATCCAGAGTGTCCTGCTTCGCTCTCCTCAGATAAACTTCCTGCCCTTCACAGACGCCCCGAGCCACTCTCCCCTCTCCCTTGCGTTGCCTCTGTTCGTATCTCCTGGCATCTCGCAGCTGTGCGGTGTGCAGATTCTCCAGTGCGGCCGGCATCATGAAGCGCATGTAGCGTGCTCTCACGTCGGACAAGGCTACCCAGTTCTTGATCGTGCCCGCTGTCACTGTGTCTGTCAAAACCCGCGGTGCCCCCACTGGCAGAATTGGCTCGCGTCCATAGAGTAAGCTGTAAGGGGAATGATCCCTCAGCGCTGCCTGCTTCCCGAATCTGTACCCTGCTGCTATCCAATCCAACTCATCATCCAATCCCTCTTTCTCTGTTCCCCGTAGCCCGCAGCCCTCGCTTAATGGTCTGCACTATGCGCTCAGTCAGGCCGTCGCTTTGCGGGTGGTAGCGGGAGGTACGTCGGTGCGTGATGCCAGACTCCTCCAGCAACTTCCTGAACTCCCCTGGAACTCGTGCCCTGATCTGTGAGCACCTCCCGCACGCTCCAAATCGACACACTACCTGCGCCTTGAAAGCCGCTGCAATGTGCCTCGCGCTCTTGCTAGTAGGGATGGCTCTCACCTAACCAGCCACACCACATTGCTCACATGCTTCAACCATGAGAGCCTATGTACTGGTTACCGCTCCTGCTTAGCGGCAGCTCTCCCGCTAGGTCCAGGGACCATCGGAACC